TTCCCTGTGTTCATTCGTCCAATTTTCCTGTCCCTTCCAGCCTTCTCATCTTGCTTGTGGGCAGGAGTTGTGCATTTGGTCTCGTATATTTGAATGAACTAAGAAGCATGTTCCTCACGTGTGTTAATTGTTTGTTTTATAGGCCTAATTTTTGAAAAGTGGGCTTTGGGAGTGGCTTCAGTTCTGAGTTAGCAGGGCATCCAGGGGCCGTAGTCTTGGAGGTTCCTCTAGTCTCTGTCAGACCAGTAAATCTGGTCTTTTTTTGTAAATTTGAATTTTGTTCTACATTTTTCTTCTGCTCTGTCTGGGAGTCTCTATTGTGATCCCTGTCAGAGTGGTTGGTGGTGGTAGCCAAGCACCATCTAAATCTCCTTGGCTCAGGCTGGTGGAAGCTATAGTTCATGTGGTCCTTTAGTACTTTGGGCTAATATTTTCCTTGTGTCTTTGGTTTTCTTCATTCTCCTTTGCTCCGGATGGGATGGGACCAATAGATGTATCTTAGAAGACTGCTGAAAAGCTTTTAAGACCGCAGACGCTACTCACCAACGTAGGATGTAGAACATTTTCTTTATGAACTAGGTTATGCCAGTTGACCTAGATGTCGCCCGAGACAATGGTCCCCAGCCCTCAGTCCCAGCAACTGGGTCCCTCCAGGTGTTTGGATGTGTCTAGGAAGCTTCTATGACTTTGCCTTGGTCAAGTTGTACTGACCTCTCCTATATTGTGTGTTGTCTTTCCCTTCACCGAAGTTGACGCTTGTCTATTATCTAGTTAGTGATTTCCCTTCCCCATCCTTTTCCTCCCTTGTAACCATCCAAGATTGTTTTTCTTCTGTGTGTAAACCTTTTCATGAGTTTTTACAATAGTGGTCTCATACAATATTTGTCCTTTTGTGATTAACTTATTTCACTCAGCATAATGCCCTCCAGATTCATCCATGTTATAAGATGTTTTGCGGATTCATCACTGTTCTTATTTCACTCAGGATAATGCTCTCCAGATTCATCCATGTTGTGAGATGTTTCACGGATTCTTCACTGTTCTTTATCATTGCATAGTATTCCACTGTGTGAATGTATAACAGTTTGTTTATCCATTTATCTGTTGATGAGCACTTAGGTTGTTTCCATCTTCTTGCTATTGTGAATAATGCTGCAGTGAACATGGGTGTGTATATGTCTATTTGTGTGACTGCTCTTATTTCTCTAGGTTATATTCCTAGGAGTGGGATTGCTGGATCGTATGGTATTTATATTTCTAGTTTTTTAAGGAAGCACTGTATCATTTTCCATAGTGGTTGTGCCAGTTTACATTCCCACTAGCAGTGCATAAGAATTCCAATCTCCCTGCAACCTCTCCAACATTCATTATTTTCTATTTTTTTGATTAGTGCCAGTATTGTCTGGGTGAGATGGTATCTCATTGTAGTTTTGACTTGCATTTCTCTAATGGCTAATAATCGCAAGCATTTCTTCATGTATCTGTTAGCTGTTTGAATGTCTTCTTTAGTGAAGTGTCCTTTGCCCATTTTTTTATTGGATTATTTGTCTTTTTGTTGTTGAAGTGTTGAAATATTTTGTAAGTTTTAGAGATTAGACACTTGTCAAATATGTCGTAGCCAGAAAATTTTTCCCTGTCTGTATGTTCTCTTTTTACTCTTTTTGTGAAGTCTTTTGATGAGCATAAGTGTTTACTTTTTAGGAGCTCCCAGTTACCTAGTTTATCTTCTGATGTTTGTGCATTGTTAGCTATGGTTTGTATTGTATTTGTGCCATGTATTAGGGCCCCTAGCGTTGTCCCTATTTTTTCTTCCATGATCTTTATTGTTTTAGGTTTTATTCAAAAATGCTTTTTTTATAGTCAAACC